GGCCTCCATCTAACCAAATACTCCTGCACTCAATAAGCTCTCTTATTTTGTTACACTTACTTAATGTTTAAAATCTTACTCTTAACTCTGGAAGAAAAAAAAAAGCGGTATTTTTTGCTCTGAATTTCAAACACATCAAAAATTTCAATAATAAGGTAAGCCTGCATACAAATGGTATATGTTTTTACTGTTCAAAGTACTTGGTATTTACTGGGCTAATCTTGTCAGACTGGTAACATGCAGTCCAATGAAGGAAAGTACAGATTAATTGTGTATAAGCCAAGGTGAAAGGACATTATAACAAAAAAATAGAATAAATGGAATAAATAGAATTAAGGGGAAGCAAAAATATCAGGTGACAGCATCAAATATTTTGTATTAATTCTCAAATCATCAATATGATTTATAGAAATATTTAGTTTCCCTGTTACCCTAGACATCATTTATTGTAGAACCATAGTAGTAATTCTTAATGGTATGGATAGTCTGATTTTGCTTGTGGCTAATTTCTATCTTAGCATCATTTTCAGAATTTAAATTTTATTTACTGATTTGGATTTGAATTTTTTTAACCATTCTTTTAAATGTACAAGTCAATGAAAAAGGGATTAATCAAATGAGTTTATTTATGCAAGACTATAATAATATATTACTGAGAAATAGACCCCATGTGATACAAATGAAAGAACAGAAGACATAAAGTCGTAGTCACATGAGAGTTGTGTTGTTTTACATGATCCCAGACAGGGTCATGTCTGTGTGGCCATTAACCCATTTCTCAGCTTCAGTTTCCTTCTCCACAATGGGGGAAATGACACAAGTCATACATTTATTTCAGTACTATTTCAGAATGAAGTGGGAGTATTCATTTTGAAATTTATGAAGTGCTACTTAGAAATGTTATACACACAGATAAAAGCAAGCAATATTTTAATTGTAACTTTGCCACACATAACCTAATATGCCATGAACTTTAGGATAATATGTCTGGGTTATCAGTTTTTTGATACTACACTGCCATCAGTCAGTTCAATCACTCAGTTGTGTCCTACTCTTTTTGACCCCATGAACCGCAGCACGCCAGGCCTCCCTGTCCATCACCAGCTCCCTGAGTTTAGTCAAACTCATGTCCATTGAGTCGGTGATGCCATGCAACCATCTCATCCTCTGTCATCCCCTTCTCCTCCCACCTTCAATCAGGGTCTTTTCAGATGAGTCAGTTCTTCACATCACATGGCCAAAGAATTGGAGTTTCAGCTTCAGCATCAGTCCTTCCAATGAATATTCAGGATTGATTTCCTTTAGAATTGACTGGTTGGATCTCCTTGCAGTCCTAGGGACTCTCAGGAGTCTTCTCCAACACCACAGTTCAAAAGCATCAATTCTTTGGCTCTCAACTTTCTTTATAGTCCAACTCTCACATCCACACATGACTATTGGAAAAACTATAGCTTTGACTTTTGTTGGCAAAGTAATGTCTCTGCTTTTTAATATGCTGTCTAGGTTGGTCATAACTTTTCTTCCAAGGAGTAAGCATCTCTTAATTTCATGGCTGCAGTCACCATCTACAGTGATTTGGGAGCCAAAAAAAATAAAGTCTTTCACTGTTTCCATTTTTTCTCCAACTGTTTGCCATGAAGTGATGGGACCAGATGCCATGATCTTCATTTTCTGAATGTTGAGTTTTAAGCCAACTTTTTTACTCTCCTCTTCCACTTTCATCAAGAGACTCTTTAGTTCTTCTTCACTTTCTGCCATAAGAGTGGTCATCTGCATACCTTAGGTTATTGATATTTCTCCTGGCAATCTTGATTCCAGCTTGTACTTCATCCAGCCCAGCGTTCTTATTATGTACTCTACATACGAGTTAAATAAGCAGGGTGAGAATATACAACCTTGACATATTCGTTTCCCTATTTGGAACCAGTCTGTTGTTCCATGTCCAATTCTAACTTTTACTTCCTGACCTGCGTACAGGTTTCTCAAGAAGCAGGGCAGGTGGTCTGGTATTCCCATCTTTTTAAGAATTTTCCAGTTTGTTGTGATCCACACAGTCAAAGGCTTTGGCGTAGTCAGTAAAGCAGAAGTAGATGTTTTTCTGGAACTCTCTCACTTTTTTGATGATCCAGCGGATGTTGGCAATTTGATCTCTGATTCCTCTACCTTTTCTAAATCCAACTTGAACATCTGGAAGTTCACAGTTCATGTACTGTTGAACTATACTGCCATACTTAAGACATTATAACAACAACAAAAAAAATAGTGAATGTTTTTTTGAAATATTGGTATTGGGATTTTGAGCTCTTACCATTTTTAGTGATTAAGATCCCTTTAAGCATCTAACGAAAGCTGAGCATCCTCTCCCAGAAAAATATTCATGTCACGTACAGATAGAATTTTGCAGAGAATTTCAAACATGTCCTTATCCTTGGATCCTAATAAAAAGCACATCTCTACCTCAGATTGACATATAGTAGGACTTTGGTCACTTGGCTTCTTTCCTTTCAGATTTCTGGGTTTTCCACACCATCACAGTCTTCTACTATGGACTGTTAATGAAGTTGTCTTCCTACCTGTCTATGCCTCCACCCATTCCTTGCTTTAGCTATGTAGCTTCTAAGGTCTGTCTCTTACACAGTCTTGGTTCCTGTGTTCAGTCTCCCCCCAGCCAGCACTGCCATTCTCTGGCATGTTCCATCAGTGCTCATTCCCAGTGAGGGAGCGAATGGGGGCTAGAAACCTCCCCAACAAATGCAAGACGCAGAGACTTTGCACAGAAATGGCAGCTTCAAGTAGGTCAGCACTGCCCATTGCAGCAAGGCCAGCACAGAGGAGAATCATCAGAAAAACTAAACTGTTAAGATTTTCACCAATTTACAAATCTAATCCTTTGCAGTCAAATATTTGAAAATTTTTGTGACTGAGTTCATTTGTAAACAGCTCTTGATGCAGAGCCTCTGGAATCTGACCATTCCCCTCCTCTAGTAATGCAATATGAAAGTGCTTTTTAAACTGTAAAGAACTGAAACAGCGTAAGGGAGGATCACGCTGGATTATAATGTGATTTGATGAGATGTGAAGAAAAGTTATACATCATCACCTCCCTTTGGGTGAAATGTCAGCCAGATGAACAGACCAGAGTGCCCCCCCCTCCCTCCCCGGTAGTTAATCTATCAACTGTATATTTTTCCAGGTTTGTAAAATTTTAATCCCCAGATCTTCTACTTTTGCACTGAATCCTCAGCCTTTTCAACTCTTTTAACTGTATATCATTTCACAAATGGCCCTCAGTATCTAGTGTCTTTAGACACTACCACCTTTAATTTAAATCAGCATGTGTTAACAACAACCGAAAGAAAATTGAGCGCAAATATTTTTGAATGCAGACATATTCTTAGAATACCAGGAGACCGCAGTGTTCTTATTTTGTAGCTTCAGCAACAATCATCCTCCATGTCCAAAAATGTTCCTGGTTAGAAAATGAGAATAAGCACATATAAGTTCTTCATGAGCCAGGGAGATTCACTGTTGTGGAACTGGGGTTTTTATTATCTGATATCGGTTTAAATGTCTGTATTTTAGTGCCACTGTGAGAATCTTATTTTTAAAATAAAATCTAGAAGCAGGTAGCATACTATTTAACAATGAATATGAAGTGCTGAATTGGAGTATTATTTTATGCTTTTTAAAATATTATCGGTATTGCCAGGTGAATGTTGCAGTAATATTATCATGTTGATAACCAGCATTGATTTTAAGATTTGCACATTACATAAGCAGAAACCACAAGACACAAAGATTTAAGGTTCAAAAATGCTGCTGAGGCAGCATTAATAGTGAATTAGTTTCCCATTAGGTCCTGTTCAGTGAAAGGGGATCTGCATATGTAGAGTTTAAAGAAATTTAAGAGAGAGAGAGAGAGAGAAATTTTTAATTCAAAATGCCAACAGGCATCATTTGGTATTAGAAGCATGGCTTGCACTGTTTTCTGTGTGAGCTTTCATCACCGTTCAGAATTCTTCCTTTTTTAATGCAGTAATTTATTTTTGATAGACAATAAATTAATAGCACATGATAGAGAAATTGCTCTTTTTTAGAGGGAGAAAAGACATTTGATGCAAAGGAAGACTGAGAGCATGGCTATGAAATTTGAGGCTATTAGTTACTGTATTGTAACTAATTTTTTATTAAGCTTTCTTATGTTTGTTGTATCAAATTAGACTTACTAATGTTAGCTGAGTTAGAATGTTTTTGATTCTTTTAATCTAGAACTATTATTAAATATTTCTCAGGTTTTTTTATCTTGCAGACCTCTGATGAATTATTCCATTCCTTCAAACCAAGTGGCTCTTTTTAAAGCTTTAGAACCATTTAATTTTATAGAAACAACATTCTATAAAAAGAAGTTAAAATATAACCATTTTTCTGCAGAAAGAAACACATTAGAAAACAAAATGACATTGATAATATGAAGAGAAAGATCTTTGTGGGCATTCAAAACACCAAGGAATTTTGAGGCCATGGTGAAGAGCAGGCTAGTTAAAATGGAGAAATCAAAGCAAGATATCTTTCTTTACTAATGTACCATCTCCTGAAAATTAGCAGAAGTTAGTCCTGAGTTGCTAAGAATGAACCCCTGGTACTGCCTTCCCTGAAGCACAGAAATAGGAAGTGGTGGAAGAAACTTGTAATAGAAGCCCTCAGGGATTCCTCCTTGTTTCCCCTGTGATCCCTTTAATCCTTGAATTGTCAAACCACATGGAAAATAATAGAGCTGCGTAGTTCTAAGTCTTAAGTGGTATTATCTTTAAAAAAATATATTACATCTTTTCACATCTCTGAACAAGAATAGGGCATGTGTTCAGCGTAGAAAAGTGTAGCTTTGAGCAAGAAATGCATATTGCTTTTTCATTTTTAATATTATTATTACCTATGACTAAGTTTGCACCCAGTAGGAAAAACAATTATGGCCAATATTTTATTTTCCTTTTTAAAAACAGATGATTCAACGAGAAGCAGATGTGAAAAGTAAGGTGACTGCTGTGGCGTTGACAGACTCTGTTCACAATGTGTGGCATCAAGAAGCTGGCAAAACTGTTCGAGAATGGATGAGAGAGGTGAGATGATTTTTTTTGTTTTTTTCAGTGCTGAGATGAATGAGTGTGAGCCTTTTATATCTGGAGCCCCCACCAACTTATATCACCTCCCACCCGCAAGCTCCCTTTCTGGAGGCAGAACATTTAGAGGGAATAGAGAAAACCAGACATGGTTGAAATAATAATAGAAAACCCTTCGGAAAAATGATTGCTTTTTTGGGAGCCCCCCCCCCCCCGTTTTTTTTTTTTTTGGCTTTCTGTGGACTATATGTATGCATATAACAGATAGTAGGAACTTTGGCTGAATATGGTCATGATCTGTTAGGTTATTATTCCCCAATATTTATTTTTCCCACCAGCTATTTATCATTAATGCTGTTTTAATTATAAGAAAGAAGTGGTCAGTGTATGCCTCTCTTAAATGGATGGCTCACTGCTGCCAGTAGGGGGAGAAGAAGTAAAAAGCTGAAATAGTGCTTTGCAGACCCTTGAGCTAGGAGAAACCCATGGTCCACCTTAGGCTAAGAAAGCTTTCCATACTTCCAAAGGGCTTGTGAATCTGAGAGTGTACAAGAACTCATTCCGTGTGGCTCAGACAGTAAAGAATCTGCCTGCAATACAGGAGATCTGGGTTTGATCTCTGGGTTGGGAAGATCTCCTGAAGAAGGAAATGGCTACCCACTCCAGTATTCTTGCCTGGAGAATTCCTTGGACAGCCCATGGGGTTGCAAAGAGTCAGACGCGGCTGAGCGACTAACACTTTCACGCTTTCATTGAACATGCTTCCAGTTCTCAAACAGCTTTCAGCTCATCATTTCCTTGATTCCTATTGCAGATATATAGCTGAAATTTCTTTTTTATTTATATTTACCTTCCTGACATTGTAAGAAGTTAACATCAGCCATACCATGCTTTAGCAACTTTTTAATCAAATCAATACATATATTTATATGAATGAGCTGGTTGACCTTCCTGATTTTCTTCCAGTTTTTTTTTTAATAGAATACCCAGCTATTTATTCAGCTGACCTCTCACCATAGGGACAGTGAATAACTTCTACCAGTTCTCATGGTATACTGTAAGGATCAGAAAGTTAATGTTTAAAAAGAGTTTTGAACAAACAGAAAGTCTAAGGTATGTAATCCCTTAGTGGTGTTGCCATATCACCAGTCTCTTTTCACTGTTGTTATTCTCCATTAGAAAAAGTGCTTTCCTCATGCACGAGTCCAAAATACTTTTACTTCACCTCTCACAATAAACATATAAAGGTGGGATTTTTTTTTTAATCCATTCTAACACCGGGGTGTTTTCTGACCACATTGCTGATCGCATTTTCTCCTTTCACAATTTAGCTACATCCTTTATTGTCATTTCCAAGGACCTAAATTCTCTTAAGAGAAATTTTGTATATTTATGACAATTACTTTTTATCCATCCAAATGTGTAGATAACCAGCTCCTAGTATTATATAACTAATAAGGTTTATAAATGATCTGTTGGTAGCTTTTTCCCACAACATAACCAATATAGAATTTAGTACTTACCCCAAACTAGAAACATCCCTGTTTATCATTTTTTAAAATTGTAAGTTCTTCATATTCCAGGTGAGACATATAAAAAAAATTTATCTAGATTTATTTTTTAAGTATTTCTAAGACTGGATTAGGCATCCCCTTCAAAAGTCAGAATATATTGATCTGTACATTTTTTTTCATCTGACTGAAATAGGGAGTAGCTGAATTCATCTTAATTTAATCAAAGAAGAGATAGAAAGTAACCAAAGGGACTTCTTACCTTGGGCTCCAGGCCTATAAGGCTGAGTAGGCAAAGATAAACTCACTTAGCATAAGGAGGACATTATGCTAAGTGAAATAAGCTAGACACAGAAGGAAAAGTACTACATGGTCTGACTTACATGTGGAATCTAAGAGTCAAATGCACAGAAGCAGAGAATAGGATCGTGGTTCCTGATGTCAGGAAGGTGGGGGAAACAGGGAGATGTTGGTCAAGGATTGCAGGGGTATAGAATGTACAAGTCTAGACTCCTAATATACAGCATGATGACTGTATTTCATAATGCTATTTTGAATACTGGAAATTTGCTAAAAAGATAGATTTCAGGTTCTCTGACCACACAATCTGAAAAATGCTAGCTGTGCAAACGAGAACATATTAATTGGCTTGATTACAGTTATCATTTCACTGTGTATATGTATATTAAATCATCATGTTATACAACTTAAATGTATAGTTTTTATTAAAAAAAAAAAAAGGCTGAGTGGGCAAATATCATTTCCTAACATATCCCTGGTCTCTGAAAGTCTGCTGCCAAGCCAGATGTTGCGTCTACGTAGTAATCATGAGCCGTCACCCATCCCATTCAGTTCTGAGCATCTGTCCTGGAAACACAACCTGGTTGTGTTGTTATCTAAGGACACAACACCTTGCATATTAAAGATCAACCTGTAGACATTGATGATTTGCAACTCATAACAGTGAGTAAAAATCTACACTCAACCAGGGGAACAAGCATCTCCAAATACTTCCAAATACCTTGCACAGGAATACCTACTGCCTACTTCTCTCTCTAAACTTCATACATTAAGGTATAACCTTTTTATAAAAACTTTTCATTCACTTCATATCTGCACTGAAATATTGTCAGCCCTTGATTTAGATGTCAGTGTCACTCAGCACTGTGACCTAGTAGGCACTTCTAAGTTTTTATTAATAACCGCAAAATTTTGGATTTCACAAAGAAGACAGCGTACAGCCACAAAAACCTGTAAAGTCATTATTTCACAGTAAAAGACTTTTAAATGGAAAATGCTTAACTTGAGGACATCACTGTATTGCCTCTTTTTTCTCTTTATCCCTCAGACCCAGAGAAGCTGTAGTTACAGGATCCATCTCAGTCTGCTGGCTCTGGCCAGAGGCTTCTTTCTCTCTGCCTGTTGGTTGGAATGGGGCCGGGCTGCATCTGAGGCTCAAGTTGGCTCTGTTGGTCCCTCTAGCCCAGCATGTCTTGTTGTCCACTCAGGACGACTGAATAAGATGGTTGGGGTCTGGGAATGCCTCCAGCACGATTTGAGTTTAGTAGGGCTTTCCTGATGGGCTACTTCCATCATCATCCAAGACACCTCGCTAGTGTTCATCTCAACTGAAGAACTGAGACAGGATGCAAACAGCACAGAGAAGCAGGGTAGAATAAGCATTAGAAAAGCAGTGAAAAGAGAAACACGTCTCAGAGTAGAGAATACATTTGATAAGATGGAATTTCAGATTGAGTTCTTATGTCATGGTGTATGTCTTTCCCATGTTTCCTTCCCTTCATATACTTCCGAGTTTGTTTACATTATTTTATTTCATTACACTCTGTCATATGGCAAATATATTTTTAGCTGGTTTTGTCCTTTTCTCTGTATGCTTTTCCCAGTGGTATAAAAATGTCACACAAACATGAACACACCACACTTGTATGTCAACTTATGGTATCAAACCTTTACAATCCTGTACCAGTACTTTGTCATTGCAAAGAACTTTTGGACATATTTACTTTAACTGTAGGGTGTTTATTTTCTATCCCAATTTTATGAGAAATCAAAACCTAAACATTTGCCTAGATAAAAACTGAAATTTCAGAATCATAAAATGGTAACCTGTATTTTGCTTTAAATATTTTGAGTTTAAAGGTGACCTGGATAAAATCCATTTTGTACATTTTAAAGTCAATGATAGCAAGTTAAAAAATGATTAATCAACTGCATACTATAATGTACCATTACTGTTATTAATACTGAAAATATCCTATAATACTTACATACATGAAGTGTAAGTGAACAGTATTAAGACTGACATATCACCTGGGTTATAGCTGACTTTCATCAGATTTGGAGGTACCTCTAGGATGAATAATAATTAAAACATATACCTAATCACTGCCTTTCTGTCAGTAGAGCTAATTGCTGTCATTGAAAAGACTAAATTGTTTAAGAATTAAGAAAAAGAGAGGAAAGAGAAAGTCATTCTTCAATGAAGCTATCTTCCAGTATCACTTCAAGCCTATTTTTAGTACCTATAGAAGTCATGATTTTTGAATTTATTAGGGGTTGTGATGAATGATAAAACAAATCATCCATTTACATATCTTGACACTGCTTTGGAGAATACTTATTTCTTACAAGCAAGTGTCACATTGTATATAAAAGCTGGCTAATTGTGTGCTAATCTTCTGCATTATCTAGAACTCTCTGATGTGGTATTCTATCAATAGTAATATTAATTTTGCTTATTTCAAATGTATGAAATATCTTCTAAGACCCTATTTCTTTTATAATTTCTTATCCCTTACATTGTATAATTTTGCATTCAGCTGCTAATTAAGATTAGGAGTGCAAATTATAGAATACATATCCACTTTAAACCATCAAGCTTTTGTAATACATGCAAATAGTAATATTTTACCCATTTTAAGTGTAAAAAGAAAGAAAACATTTAAGAACATTACTAGATGTTGTGTTTGTTTTCATGTTTTTTTTCCCACACAGTTCAGTAGCTTCATTGATCTACTGTTTCTTACAAAAATCTGCGATGCTTTGTGAATTTCACTTTCTAATCTCAGACAGCAACCCTTCCTTTATGTTATTCCTGCTCTCCCTGGTCCCAGAACAGTAGGGTTGCCTTGACAAATCTATTCAAAAGCCATTCCTCGGCCTTTATTGGTGGGGACTGGGGCCTTTGAAATTCTCTCCTCACTGCAACACAGCTGACATCTTCTTCCAGACAGAATGAATTAAGGAAATACAATAAGACACTTGATCTACCAGTCAAGGATCTTTCCACAGTGAGGACGGACTCCGTGGTGCACAACCAGGACAGCAAGCATCTAAATATACACAACACATGCTTGTTTACGAGAATAGCAATCAGCGATTTTTCCGACATGATTGATAGGATGAATTCTTTTAAAATAAAATCTGCCTGGAAGGTCATTGTGTGTGTGTGTGTCTGTGTGTGTGTGTTGGAAATTTTTTTAAAGCCGTAGAAGGTTAATCACATTTTTAAAGCCATACTTCAAATGTTGTTGTATGCATGCCTGCTCAGTCACATCCAACTCTTTGCGACCCCGTGGATTATAAACCACCAGACTCCTCTGTTCATGGAATCTTCCAGGCAAAGATACTGGAGTGGATTGTCATTTCCTTCTCCAGGAATATTCCTAACCTGAAACTGAACCCATGTCTCCTGCATTTGCAGGCGGAATCTTTACCACTGTACCACCTGGGAAGCCCCCAGACTTTAAATATACACTTAAAATGTATAGAAGGAATATAGATTATTTCTATTCCATCTAAGTTGTAAATCATCATCTTAGAGGTTTGTCTTCAATACTGAAGGTTTTGTGTCCTCAGAGCTACAGTTCACCTGATGGTGTTTCTTTTGATCTGTTTGATATAGCCTTCACTGTACCAAGTTGAAATAAAAATTAAAAGATTTTATGTTTATATGGGCCATTTTGAGGATTAGTTGCAAAATTTATTTCCTCTAGTATTACAGAGACAAAGAATATAGTTTTAAAATAATGCTGTTTTTTACATGTTCAAATTAATATTTATTTTCATCTAAAAACTAAAACTAGACACCCTTTTCAATTTCCTTTAATTAAAATACTAGACTTCTTTTATAAGTATATTGCATCATGGTTCACAGAAGGTTACATGTCTTCTTAATATCAGGACAGATAATTTGCTAATTGTAGAAGATAAACTTTTTTCCACTTTTTTTGAAAAAAGTTTAATTACTGACTGCTTACATAAGAGGATTTCTTATAGTATATAAAGGTAGAGTTGATTGTATTGATTGTTGATTGTATTGGATAGATTGTATTGGACACAATCAATTGTTGATTATATTGGATAGATTAATCTCTATAGCCTAACAAGTTGGTCTTGCCTTAAATTGTGTTTCAACAGAACATTGTCTCTATTACATTGCAGAACTGTTGTAACTGGGTCTCTAGCTCAGAACCATTAGACACGTCAGTGGAGTCCATGCTGCCTGACTGTCCCCGAGTCTCAGCAGGTATGTCTTTGATGAGAGATGTATAGAATGCTTTTAAGGTGAAAAAATATGCTCATGAAATGTGGTATTCTATTTTGTGAATTAAGCATGTTGTTCTGCCTTGAACCTGAATGAATTATTGGTAACATATGGCATGGGTCTGACACTACCAAAAATGCATTAAGTGGTTGAAGATGCTTACCAACAAACTCAGTGAAGAAGAATAGATGAAAACAACTTGAGAGTAATATAGACAGTTGCTGTTGAAGCTTAGGGAGACAAGATGTACAATTAAAACCTAAGTAAAACAAGGACTGGATAGCCATACAGCATCTCAGTAGTATTTGTCTCTGATTAGTTACCAGCTCAGTGATCCAGTAGGAAGTCAAATCCAGTAGGAAGTTCAGAGAATAGAGCTTGCTGTGGCCTAGCATCTAGAGACGTTTTTCATGTAAAAGCTTTTGGTTAGACCTTTTGTGTTAGATAGGACTTGGATTATAGGAAGACGTGCAGGCTGATACTCTGGACAGAAGAAAACACCAATGAAGGAGGAGGGGCTGGATGAATCAGAAGATGTCCATTTCGTGGGGATCTATGAACAGGCAAGACCAGCCTGTCCACTGAAAGAAAAGAGGGGGTGGGCTGAGCACCTGAGGAAGCAAGTGGGCTCCAGACAGTTTAAGGTTGGTGTTGATTTCCAGCCTGAAAGGTTTGTACTTCAGTCCCTCATCTCTAGGTCAGAAAAAAGAGTGACATTTTTCATTGCTTTCTGGTTTGGGCTTTCACAGTTTTTATGATAAACACAAAGTGAGCAGTAGTGTCTGATTATGATATAGAACAGAAATGGGTTTGCTGGTCATAGGTGCCAGAGAATGAGCAGAAGTTTTGAACATGTCATTCATTAGCTTAGTCGTGTCCGACTCTTTACAGCTCCATGAACTGCAGCACACCAGGCTTCCCTGTCCTTCACTGTCTCCCAGAGTTAGCTCAAAATGATGTCCATTGAGTCAGTGATGCTGTCTAACCATCTAATCCTCTGCCGGCCTCTTCTTCTCTTGAACTTCTCCGTTTAACAACCATAGGAGATAGCTAATTGCAAAGTACTTAAAGTTGCATACATGTTTATGTATTTGAAGGAAATAATTTGGAGAACAGTTCAGCTACTAGATAAAGAACTCTTATGATAGCTAAATTTTACCATCATTAATACCTAAACTTGAACTGAGCTTCATTATTATTATAACTAAACTTTCCAGGTCTATCATTCAGGGTTCAGTCAGAGAAACAGACTAGTAGGAGATATATATGCTACAGGGCATGTGTGTGTGTGTGTGTGTGTGTGCATTAATTACAATATATTCTCTTTATTATCAGTGGTTATATTTTGTGAAGTCTCTGAGAACACTGAATCAGTGAATACTGAATCATTACTCCTAAGGAAAATGCAGGATTAGGTTTGGAAGCTTCTGGTCACAGCATTTTCATCAACCAGTCAATGTATATAACTTTGTTTTATGAGTGTTTCTGTTTGAAGACGCCTTATTTAATGTATAGTTGACTCACTAACATTGAACTCACAGTCCACGGCACTGACTCGTTCCCGAATGGGACTGACTTCCTGCATAAGATACATCGTTATCTTAACACTTCAGCGTGTACCTGGACACCATTTCAGAGAACAAAATCATCAACAAAAGCACAGCAATGTGAAAAACAGGGCGCTAAGTAGTCTACAAAAAGGATAATTGTTTATAGTACAAAACTGGATCAAGAATTCAAAGCATGACCTTGTTTGACCTTAGTTAGGAATATGCCTGTTGAGCAGCTCAAATTTTTATTTTTACCACTTTCCACATGTGCATGTCCACAAATAACAAAACACCATGAGTAATGATTACAAATAAATTTTAATTAGTAGGTGAATTCAGAAATGCAGAATCCACAAATAATGAGGATAGACTGTAGACAGTAAAGGATTTGTTGCAGAGATTTGACCTAGGACTGGATCAGATTTGATTGAGCAGTATCTATCAGAATGTCACCTTTACTTGTGATGCTAGAGCTGAGTCTACAGAGCAGACAGCTGTTAAAGGAAGATGTTATATAAAGGGGTGAAGAGCAGGATGAGCTGGAACCCATAACCCTGAGCTGGAGCCCACAAGGATGGACTTCAATCCGTGCCAGTTCTTGTCCGTGTCCGTGTCCTTGGTGGCATGGCTTCCTGAAGAGGCCAGTGCCCTTTGTCATGAAGCTAATCACTGCCTTGTGCCACCGAGTGGGCCAGCGGATAAACAGTGTGTGTCAGCTTGAGATGGCTGCTGCTTCACTTTAACCCCCAAGACTTCCGACAGAAGTCTCCCTTTGTACCAGCCTAAACAGAGATGTACAGTTTGAAAAGGAATTCTGGGAACCGTAGTTCAACCTAGCCAAAGTGCCTCACCGCAGAACCTCCACAGTGCACCCCTTGGCACTCATATACATATCCTTAAACCAGACACTCTCCGAACGAAGACATTAAAGCAGTCTTGCTTCCACCTAACATGATATAACTACCCTATGTACAACTGAATACGTGCTAAAAGAGAGGATACAATGCCCTTTTTTTGTCCTTGAATGACGTTCATTCTTCTCATCTTTGATATCCTGTAATTTAACACTGAGAGATAAATCTGATTACTATTGACACGTCTTACATGAGATGATAAGGAATAAGAGAGAAGAAAACAAAAAATATTTCCTATATATGTTCACATCAAAATAGGGAGGAAATGCTCGTAACCATTACCTTCTTCACTTTTTTGCAACTGGTCATGTAGCAGGTATGTATAACTACCTTCATTCCATATTCTCTTTGCTTTTAGCAAGCACCTCAACTGGTCATGATCCCTTGCTGAATGGGATGCCCCGTATCTTCATTCCTGAAGGGTGTGAGCTATTAGCAGTCCTGCAGGAGTTACATTACAGTAGTTTTCTGTTGACATTAATCACAGACAGTGTTCAATATTAACAGGTGTCCTGGAGGATTTCCTTCATCGCAGACATACTCCTATTTACTGCCGTTGTGTAGCAGCAACTCAGGTTTTCCTTAGTAATCAGGATTAGTGCCCCTAGCCAGTATAGTAGCACTCTCCATGGCTTGTTCATCCAGTGGTATAAGGTAGCAGTTTCACTTTCAGTTCAGTGGAGTCATTGTTGTGATACCTTATGGAAGCCTTCCTCCCGATGCAACCTTTAGACCAACGGAGCCTACAGTCATGGGAATGGGAAGCGGTAGTTTCGCTAGTAGACACCAAGGGTAATGAGGAGAGAAGAGAAGCCAGCCCCAGTTCTCCTCGTTCCTAGATATGATATCAGAGAGCTCACAGGCCCCGTAACTGAGTGTTCAAACGCCATCCCAGCGTCCTCTGCGGCCCACTGCTTAAGCATCACGGGGAACGTGGTGAGACTGTTGGCAAACCTCAGGCCCTTTCTCCTCCTCTTGCCTGCCCCCCCCGATGGAAGCCAGCTGCCACGTTGTGAGTGCTCATGCAGAGGCCCACATGGCACGGAATCCGTGTCTCTGGCCGAGAGCCAGCGCGGCTCTAACGTCTGCCAGCAGCCACGTGAGTGACCCTGGAGGAGGATCTGAGCCTTGAGATGACACCAGCCTCAGCCGCGCTCTCACTGTGGCCTTGTGAGAAACCCAGAGCCAGTCGTCCACCTCAGGCACCCTCAGATCCAGGCCCAGCAGACGCTCATAAGCCGTGAATTTGGGGGCTGCTTTGTTCCACGGCAGCAGGTAGAACAACAGGCTTAACTTCAACTCTGCTGGTCTTTCAAGCCTAAGTGGAAAGAAACCGTAACTTTTTTTGAGCCTCAAGCTTTGCTTCTCTGACATGTTAGGGTTTAAGAGCAGCTCTTTCAAAAACGGCACTCTAAAGCTCTGTGAAGACAATTCATTCCAACCTCTGCTCCTCCACTACCTCATTAGACTTTGCTGTACAGTTTACCAGAGATAGATATCCTCTTTATCACGCTCATTGGATCTTATACTAAGTCGTCAGCTCTTGTCTGAGCTTATACTTAAGCTTATACTATTCAGCTCTTCTCTGATCAAATTTTTCTTAGAACAGAGCTTGCTGCTTTCCATAACCTTCTATTTCTTGTGGGTTTTTATTCCAACAAATGTGACTTAATTCAGAAGGCAATTTCACATGCACTCCACAGCATTTACCGTTATCGCCTGCTTTCTGAAAGCTTCCTTTATGCCTCTTCACTTTTACGAAAGACCTGCGTTAGTACCTGTTTTCAGTAACAGAAAGCTAAAGAGGATTTTTGCTTTCAGGAAGAAAGGCAAAAGCAAAAAATAGCATTTGTTTCCAGGGAGCCATCATAGAGGCAGCAAGTACCCTGAGCTTCAAGTGTGGGACCGCCGCGGTCCTTCCCTGGGAACTCCACTCCAAACCCCAGCATCACATTGTCCTAGCTGTGAACTGTGCCTGTGAGCATCTGTGCCTTATCTCAAATTATTTGGGGGCACTTGTTAGCAAAATGCACCCTAAGGTGGTTGCTGCTTCACTTTATATCATTTGGACTTACAAAAGTAAGGAGTTACGAAAGTATGAGTTACCCTACTTTCAGATAGTTGGAACCACATGTATCCATTTATTCCTCAAATTCATTGAGCACTTATTTCCAGGTACTGTTCTGGAAGCTGGAACATAGCAGTGTCTCCAGCTATGCAGATAGTATAATGTCCTGCCATGTCCCTAGGACATAGCAGATAGTATAAGGAATATCTTTCCCCCCACCCCAAAAAGGGTTTTTTTAAAAAAAGCTGTTTCCAGGCCCTCTTCTGCCTTTGAACCTGGCATCAGCACTGCGTGTTTGCTCAGTTGCTCAGTTGTCTGACTCTGCGACCTCATGGACTACAGTCCACCAGGCTCCTCTGTCCATGGGATTCTCCAGACAAGAATACTAGAGGGGGGGTTGCAATGTCTTCCTTCAGGGATCTTCCCAACCCAGGGGATTGAACCCACATCTCCTGCATTGGCAGGCGGATTCCTTACCACTGAGCCGCCTGGGAAGTTCAGTTCAGTCACTCAGTCGTGTCTGACTCTTTGCGACCCCATGAACCACAGCACGCCAGGCCTCCCTGTCCATCATCAACTCTCGGAGTCCACCCAAACCTATGTCCATTGAGTCGGTGATGCCATCCAACCTTCTCATCCTCTGCCGTACCCTTCTCCTCCNATGTGACAATAAAGCTGGTGTACACGGTTAAAGTAGTGGCAGTGGGAACAGAGAGGGTAAGAGAGCGATGATTCGGGGAGAATCTGCGCTCCTTGTTGACAAACGGGTCAAATACGGAAGCTGTGGGGAGGGGGATGACAATGATAAGCTCCAGTGAAAAGTAACTGGGATAATGAAAATGTCACTACCAGAAGCATCAGGAAGCTTGAGGGAGAAATCAGTTACGGACAAGAAATGATGAAATTGTCTTATGACCTACTTAATTGAGGTAATGATAGTGGAGGTGATGACAGGAAATTCAAGTAGAAATGGCAAATGTTGCTTAAGCACCTTTGAAACACTTGAAACTCTCTGATTAATAATCCTGTTACTGTACTTTAAAATGGTAAGATTATTTGAAGTTTTCAATGTGTATTGACCACAAGTTAATGATGGATGTCCAGACTATCCATTCAATTCAGTGAAGCCTTTTTTCCCCCCAGATTTCTAACCTATGAAGTTTTATAGCAATATGCTTTTCATCTTTTGGCTAGAAGTTTCATGGTCAAAGCAATGAAATTACCTGTAAAAATACATACTCGTCTAATACTGTATTTTTTCCTTTATTACCAAATATGTGTCCCTTTACCCAAAAAATAGACTTAATGCTCATAATAGCTCCATTTTATGAATGTTGTTTACCTATGCATATATATTTTAAAAACAGGTACAGTAAAATTTTTTAATTGTACTTAAAATATCACTGATAATTATTTTCAGTACAGTCATATTGTTTTTATTTTCCTTTGGAAAGCAAATGTGCTTGACAACGCTACACTCAAGAATTGGCAGCAGTATATCTTATACTTAAAGTGAAGTCTAACTTTAGAATGGTGGATATTTGAGGGATCTTGAATACGTGCCAAGTGACTGGTTCCCCCACTTTTTTATATTAATAGTATTTCTTACTAGTAAAAATGAGCCCATTGGAAACATTGTTATTCAAAGAAACAAATTGTTTATAGGACATATGTTTATTGTATAGCCCACATTTTGGTTGTTTACGTTTGTTATAAAATGACAACAGCAAATATCTGCCTTAATTATCATGTATAAATATTATGAAATGTTACAATGACAATTTTTTAATATCTGCAAGGATAGTTTAAGTTCTTTAAGAGGAAGGTACTGTGAAAATATAATATAGCTATGTGTTTTCATTAGTCACTTCAGAATTCAAGGTTGTCATTTATTTAAAAATCAATTGATTATTTTATTCCTGTAGGAATGGAAAAAGCATTTGCAGAAATATTTTCCCTTTCATTCTCCTGTTTCCATTCTTATTTTTAAGCAACAAATAACTTAGTTATTCATGTTTTCCTGTGTTCTCTGTGATATTGATAAGGGTCACGAAACCAGAGTCACAGAAAGATAGAAAATATAATGAAGCAATCAAAAGGAAGACAAAAAGACAAATATCCAGTAGAACACAGAAATCAGGAAACAAAGCTAAAAGAAACTAGGGTAACAGTAAAAGATGAAATTAGAAATGATCTTATATGGTGTGTTGCTTGCCAAAAATAGCTAATATAATTTTTGACTGTGCATGAGAAGACATTCTTCCAGGTGAAAGGAAAGCAAAGCAGAAATGTTTGAATGCAGACAAGGTTTCAGAGCATGGTATCTCCTGACTTCTTACAGGTCTAGACACAGCTTGCTTCAGCTGGCCCACGACTGACAGGCCACTCTTTGCCAGGTGGCTCTAACTGGACCTCAGCATAAGAGAATACTGCTGCCCAAGCTTGCATACTTTCAGCTCCCTCTGAGTGTGCTCCCCTCCTGCCTCTGTGGGTACCTACTTTCTGTCCCCACGCATTCATTCATCAAGAATTCACCACGGACCAAGCATTGTTCCAGGTGCCAGGGACACAGCAGTGAATTACAGTAGATGATAGTCCTGACATGGAGCTTACATTCTAGTAGGGAAGACAAACAGTAACAAAAGGATAAATAAAGAGAGTATATATATATTAGATGGGCTTCCCAGGTGGCGCAGTGGTGAACAGTCTGCCTGCCAGTGCAGGAGACAGAGGTTCCATCCCTGGGTCGGGGAGATCCCCTGGAGAAGGGAGTGACAACCCACTCCAGTATTTTTGCGTGGAGAATTCCACGGACAGAGGAGCCTGGTGGGCTGCAGTCCATGGGGTTGCAAAGAGCTGGACACAGCTGAGTGACTGAGCGCACACATATATGTTCGATGGTGGTCATTGGTAGGAGGAATAGAAAACAAGATGAAAAGACCTGCGGTGTATGTATGTGAAGGGGAAGATTTGAATTGTTAGGAAGGTGGCTAGGGATGGCCTCTTTGAGAAGATGACACTTCTAGAACATTCTTTCCAGTCCTGATCTTCTGCCTTTCCTCTCTGATAAAGACAGTGCATATTTTCCTGTCTATTTTATAACTTTAGAGATCCTTTTCCTAGATTTTGGGATATCTACCGAGCTAATGAAATTGAAATCATTGCTCGTATACCCTCACAGCAGTCTCTTGTTCTGAGTTCGTGGAAACCTGACGTTCTCATCACGTCCCTTTACCAGTCCTCTGAGGTTTATGGTAACCATGAAGCACAGTTATCAGAGAGTTATTAAAGTTATCCCACTCTGCCTTAAGCAAGGCATACAGACAGGCGTAACATCTGTATGGCATTCTGGGGGTTGACAGACAGTGGTCACCCTTCTGACTGACCTCACCCCCTGAAGGGCGAAAGGATCAGTATTTCCATGTACCTGTGAGCCTTTTGTGCCAGGCACACAGAATGGAAAGCTTTTACCACCCACCATTAAGGAGATACCTGAACCCAGATTCATTAAAACTGTATGGTCTAGATGTCTGATTCTTGTCCTATTTTCCCTCCGCAAACTTGTATCCATCTCATTTGTTCTCACCCTTGTCATGGCTTGAGATAGACTTTATTTATTATTTCAGCTTACTTAGAACAGTAGATATAAACCTAGGTACCTCAAAATTTAGAAAGGCAACAGTATAAATGGTAAAAAAGGAAGGAGAAGTAAAGGCTGAGGGGGAAAGAACCATAGTGGATGTCTTAAGAGATTAGAATTAAGCTTGAAGACTTACTGTATTTAGATGATCCTGTCTTATTCTAGATGTAGAAGGGGCCCATTAAATAACATGTTACCTGTCAAACCCTATTTCCCTACTGGAACAGGACGTAGAAGATTAGCAATTTCTAGGCGAATTTGAATTGTAGAAAACCTGCTAATGAAACCCCAATTTTTCTTTGCTTAGATGATCCAGACTATTTATACTGACTAAAATTACTGAATATTTGCTAAATATTCACTTCGCTTTATTGCCGAAAATATGTGTTGAGGAAATGACACTAAGGAGTTCTGTCTTTGTTAGTGACTAATCACTTCCTTCTAAAGATAGCAATGAAAAGTCAACCGTAATTGCTATTAGAATGTGGTATCATTCTGAATGTGTAGATGCACTGAGTTGTCTAATATGTTTTTAGACATAGCTCAACTTAAATAGGTTTTTGAAAAATCTATACTTTGTCTTGTAAACTGCCTTTAAAATTCGAGACATACTAGCACATATGATACTGTTCCACTTTTGACTGCTTGTACTGCTGAAGAATTCTAGCACTCTGCTTCCTTCCATTCAAAGGCTATACATCCTAATTCTTTAAGTGATGTTTTCATTAACTAAATAGCACTTTTCAGGCAGTTTTTGTCCTTTACTGTGGAATTTGCCTTATAGCTGTTATTCATAGGTTGGTTTCCTTATTCATTGTTCTATGCTACCTTATAATTATTAGTTAATATTAGGGATGAGTGTTCTAAAAGTTGACCCTAGAAATTCTTGTGTTTTCAGTGAATCATTCATTGTAATTAGCTGAAATCTGGAACTTTGGGAAAATAACTGATTAGTGAATCATTTTAAATAATCTAAATAAATGTATAAATATATATATGCACACTTAATCAGGTCCAGGATTATCCTGTGACTTTGGCTTTTTCAGTTTTCAAGTAATCACAGTGAATATAAGTAGTTTCACTCCAGAAATCTCACTTAAAAAAAAAAAATTTTAAATAGCCACCATTTTTTTTTTTACAGCTTTCTGAACCAATTTGTGAAAAATTCATCAAAGAATCTGGCAGTAAAGGTGACTAGTCTTTTACTGAGCTAACTTTTCCCTTAAAAGATAAAAAGATTTTAACTAATTATTTTGGAATGCTTGTGGATAAATAACCAAATAATATGAATTTATATCTGTACTTGAAACTTGTGTAAGTTGTAAATTAATCTGCAAGAGAGAATGTTTTTACAGTCTCCGCAACGGTGTCTCCTGAGTCTAAGTGCTATGTCCCCTAATTGTTGGAAAAGTAAGTTGGAACCAGTGATGCCTAAGACAGAAATCTTCATCCTTTTACCATGTGTTAAGCATTGATGTCCCCTGCATGGCTGTCTGTGTTCTCTTGTCCTCTTTTTCTCCTCCCCTCGGTCATCTGTCTGGGTCACTGCTCTGCATGGTCGCGCTGGGTCTGCGTATCACTTCTGGCTCTCCCTCTGTCATCTGGTTTAGTCCCCGTATGTGACTCTCATAATTTCTGTCTTCTGTGTCTCCCTGGCTTCAGTCTCCCCCACCCAGAGACTCTTTTTCCTTAGCCTGTGGAATCTCATCTGGCCCAGCCCACCGTCTCTGCCTGCCCCTTCCTGACCTGAGTGTTTTCCCCAGGTCCACTGCCCTTCACCTTCTCTTTGACCAACCATGCGATAAGGCCCTCCCGTCTCCACCCTTCCTGCCTGCCTGCTCTGTCTTGTCACAGACGGACATCAAGTCACCAGCAGCAAATCTGTCTACTGGCAGAAACACACGCCCCCCACCAAACATACCCCTTCAGAGAAACTACATTGCTTTCTAGTAGTGTGATTCAGAACTTCAAAATTAAATGTTTTCTGTTACTGAAAAGAAAATTCAAAGTGAATGTTAGGCACCAGAGATAGGTCAAAAAAACCTAAGATGTTCTATGTTACCAGCACTTTAAATCAGGGCTATGTTTTTTTATGTTTTTGTTTCATCATGGTTCTTAAACTATAGTCCTTCTTTAAAGGAAAATAGTCCTTTTTAATGAAAAATCTTTGGAAGATAATTTGATCAGTGACTCCAGATTTAGGTATTAATTACTGATTTAACTGATATATGATATCTAAATATTCTTTGAGAATTGGTTGTAGTATTTCCACCCTTATTATCTCTATTGTAATGTCCCCTTCAACCATACATATTTCACTCCAAGTATTTAATATGTTCTACCAATTGAGACATCATGTATCAGCTAGTTTATACATGTTTTGAATAATCTTACGGTACAACCCTTGACAAAATTCAGTTGTTTTACATGGTTTCTTAATTTCTAAAGTATTACAGAAGTTACTTGTTTAAAATTGGAGCAAATAAACATATACTTCATTTTAAACTTTGTTTATAGTGATGATCTTTAAAAATGAGACTTGTGTAAGAGACGATAAGTTGAAATTTTCTAATAACCTTCTAAAATCAATAGTGGCTTAGAGATTCTTTTGTTTTTAGCTAGTTTCAGACATTTTAAAAGAGCAAAGTGAATTTTTTGTTTTAAATAAATGGCCTTCAAAGAAATTTAGAGTCTAAATGGAACCACACCTTTCCTGCTTACTTTCTAGAAGAAAAGTAATTAAATTTAAAATAAGACATTGTTAATTTAAGGCCACAGATACAAATGGTTAAACATAACCAATATGTGGGAAAGCTATTTGTGGAACTACATGATGTGTGGGTTGAATTTTATAATAAAAAGTATAGTTTTCCATAACCATTGTAGTTTAGATTTTTACAGCACTTCTCTTTTGAAGTATTAATCCCTCAGCATTATTTGGTTTTGCTTTTCTTCAGAAATAATATCAAGCATGCAAAATCAACACAGGCAACAAAACTTAAATATTAGAAAAGCCCAACTTAATTTTTTTTACCAATTAGTTATTGATTTAATTATTTCCCCCTAAAATTAGAGCCTAATTCCATGTCTTACTTCAGCTATGAGTTATTCTTGCTTCTCTTGGGGTAAGAAACTAACTGTAAATACTCACTCCTTAATTCTGCAAAGATTTTTTGAGCACTTAATGGGCACTCGGCACTAGTCTAGACTCTCAAGATTGCTGCATGTGACTCTCGCCCCTCAAGGAGCTTGTAGGCTCCTAGAAAAAAAAGCCTTTTGCTTACTTCAGGGATTCTTTTTGTTGCTGGTCAGAAGTTGACCGTGGGAATGTGTGAGGTGGAGAGGAAGGTTAAGGACTTAGGAACTCCTTCAGTAACCCAAGAGTGAGTCTTAGCTCCGTGACACCCTCCTTTAGCAAATGGCAAGCCCACAAGTGTCTAAGACCCACAGCATCTTTTCAAGGTGTCCGTCTTTCTTCCCTGCTATTATGAGACCCTGACTTTGGCTCTGTGTTTCAGATGGATGTGTTATTTGTCATTTCAAAATTCTTTAGTGGTGGTGTCAGTATTTATGAAGAAGAGCTTTGGATTTAACATGCGTGTGAGAAATTTGTATTCTCCCAGATGTGTGGAGAATTAATTCTGTTTCATGGCCAGATGAAGATCTACAGTCATACTGTCTATAAAGTTAAGATCATACTAGTACAGTCTCATCGGGTTATGGCCAGAATTAAGAAAAATAATCTTTCCAGGACTGTTAAAATAGTACCTGACGCGTAGTCACGACTCAATGAATGCATGCTGTCCTCACTTTGCGTGGTTCAAATACACACAAATTTCAGTTACCATAGTTTAGTGAAATAACACCAAACCCCCAAAATAAGGTTCAGAATTTCAGTTACCATAATCTATTAACTATTAATAACTGCATTAAGTACAAATATAGATGCAAATAACAGATGCACATCATGGTCCATTCCCAATCATATCACTTTTTAAAGAAAAATCCATCACTGACTGAGCACTGCATATCTGTTATTCAGTTCACTGTTATTCAGTAGCACTGTCTGTATTTACAAAAACGGATGGTCAGAAGAGAGATCCGGCCAACGGAGATGAAAGTGAAGCAAAGACATAAAATGCTGGAAGTGCAATTGGAAAGCACTGTGACGAAAAGATGAAGATGTCCCAGAGGAAGTGATACTGGCAGAGAAACACTTCACATCAAATGAACCCTCAGAGATATTTCATGACATTGGAAGAGTGAAGGATAAAATGTTGGAAGCTGCTCCACACTTGGAGTATGACAGTTCGCCAAGGCACAGAAAAGATTTGCTTGAACTGTATAAGTTAGATGACAAGGAAGAAAGCACTATTCAGATTACAAACTACTCTTAGTAAGTTTTTTTTACAAAGAAATAAAGTGTCTTAATTGTCGGTGTTTTAATGTTTTTGAGATGCAATGTATTAAGTACAATGTCTTACTCTTTTTTTTTTATTCCCCTACCCTATTGATTTTTAGCTGACAGGAAGAGGATTTTTAGTGTTATGACAAAAAAAAAAATTCAAAGATTATGGAACAACCACAGTTTTTTTTGTTTTTTTTCCTCATTGATTATTGTGATCACTTTGCCTGGTTTCAGAGGAATTTTAGTGTTATGACAAAAAAAAATTCAAAGATTATGGAACAACCACAGTTTTTTTGTTTTCATTGATTATTATGATCACTTTGCCTGGTTTCAGCTTCTCTGGTCCTCTGTGTAGTTCCACAGTACTGTGCAAAAGCAAGAACTTCCTATTGTTATTAGAAATGATTTTATCCAACAATTAAGTACAGTAGTTTTAGAAAAGTTGTTCTTTTCTCTCCAGTATTTGAGAATTAAAGCTTTCTGTCATTTCTCTTCTGTTCCCGCCCTTCTGTTTCCTAGATTATCTAAGTCCTGACTCTGGTCATGTTTCACCATGACTCTCAAAATTTCCCAGCACATCCTATACACAACTACAGTCTTTAAACGCCTCCATTTTCCGACTCTTCGGCATCCTCCCTATTTCTTCACTCTTCTAATCTATTTCCATGTCACGCTGACCTTTCCCTTTCCTCTCCTCCCTGCTAGGCACTGTATTCTGTAGTTCCCCTGAAAGCCTGTCGGTTCTTTAACACACTGTCCTCCTTTCAGACCACGGCTGCCTTGTCTGTGCCGTGTGCTTAGTCGCTCAGTCGTGTCCAACTCCTTGCTACCCCATGGACTGTAGCCCGCCAGGCTCCTCTGTCCATGGGATCCTCCAGGCAAGAAGACTGGAGTGGGTTGCCATTTCCTTCTCCAGGGGATCTTCCCCACCCAGACTTTTGAACCCGGCCTCCTGCATTGCAGGCAGACTCTTTACCAATTGAGCTACGAGGTAAGCCCTGCCCTAGAACATATCCTTATGAGAAGCGTCCATAAATTCATTGGTTTCTTCTTTGTGCTTCATCTGCGTTTGTGTCAATCATGAAAGACAAAGTCTTTCTTGAATTTACACTATTATGAGAAATTCTACCGCTCTGTTTGGTTTCTTAGGGAGATTTCAGGGACATTGACAGAGAGGCCCTGAGCTTACGATGGTAATAGCACCAAAGTCAATCAATTTGGAATCTCCTTAACAAACAAGAAATTTTCACAGCACCTAAAAGAGTTGACTCCTGTAAACAAATTCCCTTCTACCTCTTACTCACTTCTCTGAGCGTATGTCACAACCTGAATTACTGGTTTCATTGTTCATAAGCCATCATTTCTGTTCTGTGTGTTTTGCTGTGCAGTGTAACAGAACATTTTTTCTCTAAACAAGTTATGTGCATGCTCAGTTGCTTCAGTCGTGTTCGACCCTTTGCAACCCCATGAACCATAGCCCACTAGGCTCCTCTGTCCGTGGGATTTTCCCAACAAGAATGCTGGAGTGAGTTGCCATGCCCTTCTCCGAGGGATCTTCCTGACTCAGGGACAGAACCCACGTCTCCTGCGTCTCCTGCATCGCAGGCAGATTCTTTACCCCTGGGTCACTGGGGAAGCCCTAAACCAGTTGTGTATCTCTTACTTAACAGTGTAAGCAGAGTATAAATCTGAGTGCAGAAGACAGTGACTGCACCCTGACTAGAATCATCAATGTGAGACCATCCTTAAAGCCTTTCTTCTGTAACAGTGGCATACTCAGCTGAAAAGTTTGTTTAAATCCTTCCAGGCACAGCAGGAACCTGCAACTTTACCTGCTTGTGACTGTCTTTGAGTATACCTGACTCACCGCATAATGCCCTTCAGCTCAGCTGCTCTTCCTGCCTCCTACAGATATTTTAAATTCTTCAAGACTTCAGGTGAAGGCTACAGGGTTTTATCCTTAATACTCTTTTAGAGCACAGGAAGTCCAGAGCTCACGAGTGTCACAGATCTACAGAATAAACTGGAACTTTTTTTCTCCCCATGCTCTAAATCTCCTTGTAGTCTCTGACTGTGTGGTTGTATCATATTTGTGTCATGAACTGTTACTTCTAGGCCGCAGTTATATCACCACACTTACTTCTTACAATAACAAAAAGAAAAGCAACAAAATGAAGTAAAACAACAACAACAACAAGTCCTTCACCTTCATCAGAAATTAAGAAAATCGAGGAAAATCTGCGTTGGCAACCCACTGCATTCTAGTTTTTCTCTAGAATCTTGTTACCCACAAGTGGCTGCCCTTTCACCTTGTTCCTGCCCTCTCTTATCTCCTTTGCAAAACAGTGCTGCCGTTATCCATTTTGTGAATTTATCTCATAGAGTAAATAAATGAAGTAAATAAATTTATCTCATAGAGAATAAATGATTCTTCCCAGTGACTACGTTGATGTGATTAACTTTCTCCATGTTGTTATAGCTTTGTGCTCTTTCTGCGGGTACCTTACCTTCACGCATCTGTTTTTCTTAACTGCCTCAGTTATCTCCCATGTCTCACTTTGTCTTACACAGTTTTCTACTTGAACATCCACATAGAGAATTGACGGGTTAGTCGCTTCAGTGTAATCTGAGGCCGTTTCAGTGAGCTGTATTGTGATGTGTGGTGGTAACTCTCTCTGTAGGGTGGCAGGCGTCTTTCCTTACTGGATGGCTGTCAGTTCTCCTGGGTTTCTGACTTTTCTTCCTACGTCCAGAGAGGGACTTCCAGAGAGCGTCTCTGGATATTGTCTCCTGCCTTTGCCTTTTGTCTCTTTAACTAATGGGCTTTCCAGGTGGCGCTAGTGGTCAAGAGATGCAGCTTCAATCCCTGGGTTGGGAAGATCCCCTGGAGGAGGGCATGGCAACCCACTCCAGTATTCTTGCCTGGAGAATCCCATGGACGGAGGAGCCTGGCGGGCTATGGTCCACGGGGTCACAAAGAGTCGGACATGACTGAAGCGACTTAGCACATGCACACTCACTCCTTGACTAATGTCATTTTTGGGGACCTAAACCTGCCCTTCGGCTGACAGTCCTTTCATACACTGACGCCTGGTCAATGCACAGTTATCAGAATACCTGCAGAATGGGAGAAACTATAAAACTGGCACCGTCTAGTCTGCCTGGCCCTCTCTGTCTGACCTGTACGTTATTCTTAGATCTTCTGATGTGCTCTGCTGATGTAATTACATTCAAGAAGTTTGTTTTGGAGTCTCTGCTAGAGCAGTGAAACTCCTCACATATTCTTGAGCAAAGGCCTGTCCTCCATCTGTAGCATGAGCAGCTCTGGGGCTGATGCATTTGGAGAGATGCTGAAGCAAGGATCACCTTCCTTGTTCATAAGACAGCTGCTCAACAGGATGACGCAGATCAAATCTAGACCTCCCTCATAGCCAGGTGCTTTGAGGCACTTAACCATCCCTGGGGTGCTGTGGATCGCTCATGTATTAGCACATATATTTGGCACATAAGTACAAAATAAATGTCCTTTGGGAGGTTCCATATTTCCTGGGTGGGAGCTAAGACAGGAAACCCCAGCTGACTTTTTAAAGCAGCTGGTGTATCTGAGTGGAAAGGTACCAAGTTCAAAGAGGAGAGAGCCCTGAGCTCACTGTGGTCCTGAATGTGTTGTGGACAAAGTTTTCAAAGAGATGAAATGTGAACTGAGATCTACAAGGATGTACTTTGTCTCCACTGTTTTTTTGCTGCTTACCATTAATAACCTTGGCAGTTGGCTTTGGTCCTCTTAGAACAGAAGCTATTTAAGAAGGGGCTTCCCCAGTTGCTCAGTAGGTAAAGAACCCGCTTGCCGATGCAGGAGACCCAGGAGATGCGGGTTCAATCCCTGGGTCAGGAAGATCCCCTGGAGGAGGAAAGGGCAACCCACTCCAGTATTCTTGCCTGGAAAATGCTATGGACAGAAGAGCCTGGCGGGCTACAGTCCAAAGAATCACAAAGAGACGTGACTGAGCAGGAACATGATAAGAGGAACTTAAAGACACAAATCCTGACGCTTTGTGTATTTCGCTTAAAACTTAAATTTCTCTTCATTCCAAAGATCCTAACAATAGAAAAGTGTTAACTTCTCTTTGGGCAAGTCTTTAACTATCCTGCTCTCCTGATGGTTTCTCTTCTCCTCCATTTAGATTATAAATACATGGGGCCTGGGACCATGTGTTTCTTATCCTGGCTTTATAATTCCCCATGGATAAGACTAGCCTGATTCTTACATTGTAATCTAATCTCTTACTCAGAGGTCTCGGTGTTTGTTGAAGGTGATGGATTAGCCTCTCAAGCACCCCAGACCAAACAGTGGCTGGCTGTCTTGGGCATTCCCATCATCTGCCTTCCCCGATCTCTATTTTTGTTCCATCCAAATACGCTCCTGCTTTTTACCCCTGATCACCCCCTTTCTGTAGCCCATTAAATATACTCTTAAGGAGACATCAAGACTTCTTTTAAGAATATGAGTTTTTAATTGTAGCAGCACATATGCATAAACAAGGAGACAGGCACGATGGCAGATGAAGACCAAGTAAGAGAAAGCCTTGAGCGTACCCAAGTGAACTTAAAAACCCATCAGGTTCATATTGCCTTACTTTTTAATTTAGTAAATGTTTGTAGCTACTATGTTTTAACTCAGTTAGTATAATGAAGCTTTCCTCAAATTAGATTGGACTCATTTTTTCCAATTCACTAAAAACATTTTTATTC